CTGTGAGCATGCTCTTGATATATGTATTTTAGGTGTGTAAATTTAAAATTGCCTTTACATTATTTTTTCAGTTTTATTTAAATTTGTAGTTATAACAACTAAAAATAAATGTATTTTAAATTTTAGAATTAGACAGCCTTTGCACACAGGCTTACGCTGAAAACAATAAAATGGAACCTCAAGGTTGATCTAGGAAAATGTGTGCAAATGTATAGGGCCACATTCCTATATTTTGCCTGGGGCCCCCAATTCACTAAATCCGCCCCTGTATATATGTGTGTGTGTGTGTATATATATATATATATATATAAAATGTAGTACTAATCATTTAAAACTGGTGGTAAAAATGTTCTTTATTTGGACTGAACAGGATAAAACTTTATTTAACGTTAATCATTACAGACACAACAATGAGCTTTATCTTCAAAAATGAGTTCACACATAAAGCGGCCCGCTGAGTTAAAGATAAATGACTGAGGTTAATTATCAAACATCAGACAAACTGAAGCTGCTGCACTGTAAACGAGACTGATCACAGTCAAGGGTTGTGATTTAATACAGTAAGTTGAACATAAATCTGAATTAAGTGATGGTTTTATTCTGCTGGTGTGTTCAGGATGTTCTTCACAGGTTCTTGAGCATGTCTTGACCCTCAGGTTTCTCCAACCAGTGAGGAGGCCAGCTGGCTTTAATACTGGGACGGTCCTTTAGCATCTTGTAGTACTCCATCAGTCTGGGACAACGCTCTGGAGGACAGCTGAAACCAGATCAAACATTAAACCAGCCTCATCTGAACCTTCACCTGACAGCAACAATCATTAACCCTCATAACGCATTCAATATCTGATACTGCTTTCAAACTCAAAGAATCATTATTTTATAAAGCACTCATGACAATATTTTTCAAATAAAACCATACTGTATCTAATCAGCAATTTCTCATTAATGAGAGAATGTGGGAGGTTACCATGTTATTACTGCACTTACCTCTAAAAAATACAAATTGCACTTGAACCAGACCAAAAAATCTATGATAAAAAAATCTTTAAATATTTTTTTAATATTGACGAGAAATTTTATTTGAATATATCACTATGAAATTTACAAAGCATTTAACCTGAGAATTATCAGTATTAATCCCAAAGGAACAAATAGATTTAAATTCATTTGAATTTATAACTCAGGATTGCTCAAAAACAGTCCAAATTGACGCCTACATATTTATTTCTAACAAAGCAACATAATTATTACTCTGAAGGAGTTTTTATTCAAAATAAATTGATTTTATTTGCAAAAACTTTCACTTTCAGATGAAGACAGTAATTATTTTTTCATGCTGTAATGGTTTGTCATTAATCGTACGTATTCATATTTATCAGCAATATTCAGTCCCAAAAGTGTGTGAGATATGGGGAAAAAATATGTATAATACATTATAATATAAACAAATAAATTATGTATATTTTGAAGGTAACGCATTTGCAAAGTTTTGTTCCCTTACTAAAAACTATGCTTTTTTTTTTCTCGTAAAAACTGACCTGAATGCGTTATGAGGGTTAAAACACGCAGTCATTAAAAAACGCTTTATATCCAGAGCGATTCACTCACTGAAGTCGCGGGAAAAACACGATGACGGGGAAACAAACCACATCGGCCATAGTGAAGTTCTTGCCAGCGAGGTACGAGCCTTTACCCATCTATGAACAAATCACTCATCGTTAGAGAAGCTCATTATTATGCCCTCAAATACAGTAACAGCATCTCCTCTACTAATGAAGAATTGCTGCAATCAACACATGCATTCATAATCCATTACGCTGTTGTAATGCGCTTCATTTCAGAAAGCAATAAAAAAAAAAACACTTTTAAACAAAGTCATGGAGGCCAAAGGTCAAGTTCACCCTCCATAACTCTAATCATTTTACTGATAAGACATTAGGTTGCAATTAATTGCAAGAGCCGTCTAAAACAATGACTATTTGACAATCATTACATTTAGATGAAAAGAATAACTGATGAATCATTCACAATGAGACCGGCAATCTGACATCATAAATGCATGATTTATATTATCAATAAATATCAATAAAATCTGACCTCCTCCAAGTATCCATCCCACAGTTTGAGCTCGGCGATTAAACTCTCTTTATTCCTCTTCAGAGCCGATTCATGTCTCTCTCCTTCAGGAACATGCCACTCGTAGAAAGCCACGTCATCTGAACAAAAACAGTGCATATGTGTTTATAATATTTGATCTATCAGGCTTTTATGGCTCATATATTCAAAAATATGCAATTTGCTGCAGATGCTATTCTTGATTGTGATGTAAATCAATGAGATCTTTTTAAACAGCATATCAGATACTATCATAAAATTATATAAATATTAGTCAACACCAGTGTTGGGTAAATCACTCAAAAAAAGTAATCCGCTACAAATGAGTAATTACTTTTAATTGGATTACATTACTGATTACTGCATTTAAACAATAATCAGATTACTAATTACTTTCAAGTTACTTTAAGTTATTAAACCAACAACAAAAAAAAACACTACAAAATGAAACTCATAGTTCTTTCATTATTTTTAAATAGACTGAAAAATTACATAAACAGCAACTTGAACGATCACTTGCATTTTTCCTGATAACTGCAAAAAGAACTTAAAATGTTTCATAATTTTTTATCGTACAGATAAGAGCAATACATTTTTTGAAACTGTAAAAGGCCTACTTTCATTTGTATGAACTCGCAATATGAACAAAACTTTGTGCTTTTGTAAAATAAAGAAAACAAACAGGGTGCACTTTCTGCCGTCTCGGTCTCCGTGAACATTCTTCTGAATCGAACCACAAAAATAAACGAATCAGCGAATACTTGACACACAGACATGAGAATTATCTAAAGAAAGCTTGAAGTGTCTGTTTTTACATGAAGTCAGTCAACCTTGAATTTACCTCAGAAGAAGAAAGCGCGGCTTGATTCAGCAGAGGATCTCTGAAGAGTTATTTATTTTTACTTATATTAGTGTTATTGTGACAAACTTGTACATGCTGAACTTTTCCCAAACTATAATGCCAGACTAAAATATGTATAATTGAGTGCAACATTTTGAAATACGACTGCATTCATTGCATCTAAATGTTGTACGACTCATCTGCATTTTAGCTCACATTCTCTGGTGATTTATTGAAGGCCATACTGACGCGCAAAACATGATAAAAAAATATTTTTTTCTTAACTCTGCATTTGTAACTTAAGTAACGTAATTTTATTGACATTCGTAACTGTAATCAAATTACTTAAATTTTAAAATGTAATGCATTACATTACTGCATTACCAGGAAAAGTAATTAGAATACAGTGACACTGTAACGCGTTATACCCAACTCTGGTCGTAACATATCTCCAATAATATATCTTAGTAAGATGAGATTGAAATGATCCAAACATATAATGCAATGCAATGCAATGATTGAGAGATGAAGAAATAAAGTCTCCTCAGAAGATGTGAGATGTTCTGGAGGCTTGTGAAGATCATTCCTCCGCTGAGGAACAGTGAAAGTAAAGCTTCTGGAAACAAACGCTCCTCAAAAGATCCTGAGGATCAGATTTGAGACTCTAAAACATGACTGATGGAGAATCAAGTAAAGCTGAGCTGCTTCAGTCCAGTAAGTGTTCATCTGGAGATATTACTGCAGTTATTCTGACCTTTACTTGATCAAAATCAGTCAAGATTTGACACAAGAAGCAGCAGCTGAAGCTGGACGTTTGCATATTTTTAGAGTTGAAGTGCGTTGACAGTTGAAGGCACTTACACATTTTCTGCTGCAGGTTGTTGGTCTCAAACATTCGCTGGTAGACGAGCGCTTGTTCAGCCGGGTCGTCTGGGATCAGACGGGTGCCTTGAGACTTAAACGCGCTCTAGAAACCAAAAACACACCCGTTAGACCACAGGAACCAGTTGAGTCCTCTGCACAATCTGACTTTGCTGCAGCCTTGAATTGAACTGCTGGTTTCGTCTGGTCAGAGGAGAACTGGCCCCCCGACTAAGCCTGCCACATCAAGCAATATAAACTCTAAATATAACATCAGAACTGAGTCAGAATCTCAAATAAAGTAAAGACTGCCTTGGAAGATAAAAAAAAATAGTATCTACTCTGAACTAGAAAAAAAAATTATTTGATGAAAACATTGGAAACTAGTACTAGTAAGTGATTATTTGCAACTCACTTATATAAGTTTGATAGACAATACTTTTTTGTTTTTGTTTATTTCCACTGTTATCCATTGGGTTATTTCTAAAATCTAAAAATCGAAACATTTCTAAAAATAAAGATAATTGTAACTTTTTATCTCATAATTCAGACTTTTTTCACAAGTCAGAGTTTATATTTCACGATTCGAGAAAAAAAAAATCAGAATTGTGACAAAGTGCCAAATTACTTTATTGTACTTTTTGTGTAATTTTTTAATTCCATGTGTTGTTGGGAAAAAAGGAAAAAATTTAGATATAAAAAGAATTTAGAGATATAAAAAGGCCTTTTTTAATTTTTTATTTTATGGCTAAAAAATGTATTGCTGAATTTTCATCATATTTATGTATAACATAGACCCTAAATTGACATAGTAATGGAAAAATATGAGATGAGAGTTAAAATTATATTTAAATGCTTTTATGTTTTTTCGCAAAACCGGTTCCACAAGAAATTTGCATTCAGTCACAAATCTTTTGCATTTTTTTCTCTTTGTTCTACGAAAAAAAAAACTCAGAATTGCAAGATACAAACACAGAATTGCGAGATATAAACTGAAATTATGGGAATAAAAGTCCGAATTTTGAGATAAGTCACAATTATCCTTTTTATTTTTTATTCCATGGCGGAAACAAAAAGTCCGAATTGCAAGAAACAAAGCCCAAATTGATATAAAAAGTCTCAGTACCTTTTTTATTTTTATATATCATGATGGAAATGGGCTTCAATAATATACCGACACATTAATATACTGTGATTGCAACGTGTAAAGAACGTTCTGAGAAAGTTCGTATAAATCAGGTCTGCGCAAATTCAAACTAATCTACTCGTACAGCAGTGAACACATGCAAAAGTCTTGCGAATAAATGCAAAAACACTGAAATAGTATTGTTCTCAGTTCCAAGTTGATTACTTTGTGCAAAGTGCACTAAATAAAACACTTTCGGCAATAAGGAAATAATCGCACATTTATTAAAAACGTCACAAGCCAATATTAATACGTGACCTAATTTGTATGGAGACGTGCACTTCAAGACACTCTAGCTTTACTCTTCTCAAATGATGCAAATCAGCTGACACGCGACTCATCTGCTTTTCTAGTGATCGTTAATGTTTCTAAAATACTACAGCATTTCAGTGCTACGTTAAAAAATTAAAAAATCTAAGATTACAAGATTAAAGTCGTAGCAATACAAGAATTAAGTCTAAACATTTTGAGAAAGTCAAAATTACAAGAATAAATTTGAAATATTTTGAGAATAAAGTCGAAATATTTTGAGAATAATTTCGTAACGTGTCACTTAAACACCGTCATACTATAAAGCAGATCATGACTGATGATTAATGAAAAAAGCAAACGATTTGCAAGTGAATGCAAATTTTCTCATGGAACAAGTTTGCGAAAGAATGTAAAAGCATTGAAATTAACATAATTGTAACCCTCATCTCATATTTTTCTTTCTGTTCAGGGTCTCTGTTACACATAAAAATGAGGAAAAAAATCAGTGATTAATTTGTCTCTCTGTTTTGTTTGTTTCCACCACAGAATAATTTTTTTTTTTTTTTTTTAAGTAGGCTAATTGTGATACTTTCTCAATTTTGACTTTTTTCTCACAATTCAGAATCGTGGGATATGAATTGTGAGATAGAAAAATCGCAATTACATTATTTAATTATTAACGGGCTACCATAATATTAAGATGTAACAGAACGTCAATCATAACTAGACTAACTACAGGGTTGCCAACTCTCACGCATTTGGCGTGAGACACACGCTTTTAGGCTTTTAGCGTTCAAATTTTGTAAGTTTCAATACTAAATTCAAACAAAACAAATAAATGCCGTTTTGGCGCACTTAATGTGGTGTAAATCGTAAAATGTAGCGCTTCAGTTAAAGCCAGAGCTATTGAAAAACAGAGTTGCGACAAGCTTTGATCTCGCCGCGCGGTCACGTGATCCATAGAGCTCTCCAAACAAACCAGCGTTGACTATACATTTAAATGGGTTTAAGTACAATAGATGACAGCTTCATTATACAGGCATTTGGAGCAATTTTTGGTGAACATTACAACATATGCACACCTTAACTATTTTTCAGTTAAATAAATGTTCTATATTTTAATTCAATTATATTTATTTTATATTTTAAGGAGATCTTTTGGTATGAATACTATTTGTGCAATAAACATGGTCCATTAATGACTTTTTAAAAAATTTCTAATATTTCTATGATTTATATTACAATTAGTGAAGTATTTAAGGTTAAAATAGAGAAAAGGGTTTAGATTTCAATGCAAAGATGCAAATTAGAGTCACTTTGTGGTCGGAAAAAAAAATCAGTTTCATTTTTAATGCTATGGTTTAGGCAACCCACTAGGTACCTTTAAAGGGGACATATGATGCGATTTCAAGTTTTTCTTTCTCTTTGGAGTTACAAGCTCTTGGTGCATAAAGAAGATCTGTAAAGATGCAAAGACTAAAGTCTCAAATCCAAAGAGATATTCTTTATAAAAGTTAAGAGTCAGCCACACCTACCTAAAACAGCTTATTCTAACACGCCCCCACGTCTACCTCACTATGTGGGAAGATTTGCATAACGCCGCCCAAATGTTCACGCAAAGAAAGAAGGCGTAACTTTTATTCTCGCTGTAGTATTGTTGCCGCTGCCGCCATGTCGTGAAGACGCTGTGTGCTTCGTTGTGAAAGCGAAACTACTTTGTTTGGTCTTCCAAAAGAGGACGATATCCGCTTCATCATGCCTAGAGCTGATCCGTGCTGGTCGCTGAGGAAATACATAAACTTCGCGCTGTCAATCGCTGGATCGGCTTTCACCGTGGACGAAGCGGAGTCCAGCCCGGGGTCGTCACATGTGGTTGCCGCTCATTCGTCGGATCCGCCGGGCGCGCCGTTCT